CCTCTCCTCTCCTCCCCTCCCCCCTCCTCTCCCCCCCACCCCTCCCCATTTCTGAAAACAAAACAGATCTCCAGCCATGGGTGACACTGACATTCCTTGGCTAGCAGAAAGCAGAAATCAATGTGTTAAAAAAACAAACAAAACAAAACAAAAAGAACTGTATGGTATTTGCATTAAATGTACTGAGATTGTTGCATGTCACTTTTATATTATACTGATCTTTCCTAAGTAATATGCAACAGTCTCAATGCGTTTAATGCAAATACCATAAAGTTCGGGGGGGGGGGGTTGTTTTGTTTTGTTTTTGTTTTTTGAACACATTGATTTCTGGTTTCTAAAATTAGTATTTTTGGCCAGTTCATTTGTAATTTCTTGCAAAATGGAACATTCTAATACTTTTAAAAATATTAATATAAAAACTAAAAGTACTCTTAGCAGATGTAATATTTAGTTCTGAACCTAAAATTTAAATATGGACATTAAATTAGCAACATCATTAATAATGATGTAGAGGATTCCATTTATTATACGGATTTTACAAGGATTACTTCCAATTATTTTATTTCTAATGCATTTTTTTCAGTATATGTTTGATATCTGAACTCTCTTCAGTAATCCAAAGCAAAGATACAAGTTTTTAAAAATCTTAATATAATTTTTATATCATGTGATTCTGAACAATTGTACATGTTTTTCTATTTAAAGTGTGTATATTTCTAAAGCTTGTTGTTTTTATTCCAGCTGTTAGCTACCTTGTGTGATAAAGTGAAATATAAATTGAACTAATAATTAATCATAATAAATGCTATGGGAAAATAGTTTCTATTAACTTAGGCAAAAACTGAGGTATTTTCATAAATAAATTGCTGTTCACAGTTTGCAGCACAGTTTCATATAAATTAAAATTGATTATCCTGTGGCCCTTCAGATATAGTTGGACTAATATTCTGATTATTTCTGTCAAGTTAATATCTACTGGAGTTTAAGGACACCCAAGAGGGCCATAACTTTGTATGCATATGTGAACCTTTTCTTCTGTTTCTCCACTCCATTTTCAACAAAAACAATTGTACTTGAATAAAATGTCCTAATCAGGAAGTTGCTGTCCCTTCAGCTATAGACCTTTGAGCAACTGCAAGTGTGGGAAAGTAATCAGAGTTTCATCAGTCCAGTTGTGCAAGATTCTAAGTATAGCTAGGTCAGTCCTCTTTTTCACTAGTGGCTAAGCTGGCTCCTTCCTTCCTTCCTTCCTTTTTTTTTTCTTTAGATTTTTTTATCCTCCCTTTATTATTTTTTTTATAAATAACCCAAGGCAGCGAACATACCTAATACTCCTTCCTCCTCTTATTTTCCCCACAACAACCCTGTGAGGTGAGTTGGGCTGAGAGAGGGTGACTGGGCCAAGGTCACCCAGCCGGCTTTCATGCCTAAGGTGGGACCAGAACTCACTGTCTCCTGCTTTCTAGCCTGGTGCCTTAACCATTACCCCAAACTGGCTCTCTTTGGTTGGTTGTAACTTCCTAGGTGCATATGGCTATTTTTCTTTTTCTTCCTCCCCATACCACTCAGTACAATAGCATAAAACATTGCTCTGGTTATGCTTATGTTCTATGAATGAAACGTACTGCATTTGTATATACATTTAGGAATCTATATATCATTTCCATTGTTTGAATATTCTACTTGAGTTCTTTCAGAAAGCTTTCTTTTTATTGTTTTGAATCTTCAAGCATTAGCAAGTTTTCTTATGACATCAGAGGGCAGAGTTGCCATGCTTTACCTGCAGTTGTTGGAATTCTAAGCCTAATACTGCAGCTTTGGAACATGATAAGATATATAGACATACAAAGCCTCATTGGGAAGTCATCTAGCATTATAAAGGGCAATTTCTAATCCATTAGGGGCCTTTCTCCAGTCTTACTAGGCAGCTTAACTGTTCATTAAGCGCAATATGGAATCTCATGATTTCTTGATACATTAGAGAGATTAAGGTTTTTCCCCACACAATGCAGAAAATAATTCATTGGTTTATAACTATATCCACTGTGTTGCAGCCCACACACTTTCTTGCAGTTTTAGCACAGAACAATTTCCTGTTCTCCACAAACTGAGGCTGAAAGTTGCAGTAGGAATCCAGAAATACTTCGCCAAATAGTCTGCTGCCATAACTAAGTAAACATTTTGTTCAAATTAGCTTCTATGATTATGCATATGAATTCTGACAGAAGCAGCCTCGGAAAAGGTTCCTCACTGATACATCAACTAACTGCAGATGTCTGCAGGTGTATTTAGGCAATCATGACTGAGTTTCAGATGGTGAACTTTTACAGCAGATTCTTTTCAGTAATGAATGGAATACACACAATACTTGAGACTTTCAGATCCAGGACATGTTTCTTAAACAGATGTTTCATCTTAGTTGCTTTTGTCATTCTTTATGTTCTGTAGAAATTATTTATTTTTCTTTTAAGAATTCTTCTGAACTTGAGTATATTTAATGTGTATCCCCCTGGCTGGTTACTGTGCACATTTGGTTTAGATTTATTTATATTTTGATCTTTTGTTATGCTTTCCATGTTGATTTTTGGACTGTTTTCTAAGATAAATAAAACAAGGTAGTCATTTAAATATCATTTTAAATGTGTGCATTAAGAAATATCTAAATCTATTCAGTTCATATTAAACTCTTAAGGAACACCATTTTTTGCAGTTATCTTTCAAAAACATTTTTTTCTTAGAATTATATACATTCAAGAAGCAACAGAGTAATTTATTTTTCTCTCTGTGCCTCAAGGTAGAGTTGCATGTTTCATAAAATGCATGGATATTGTCAAGTACAACAGCTTTATGTGAAGTGCATCTCTCTCCTGGAATATGAAAAATCATTACCTTGTGTTAAATTGGCTTGATAGAGATCTTAGTCTTCAAATGCCACTTAGCTTTGGTGCTTGACCACATTTTCATGCGTCTGTCCTTTTAAGTAATCTCCCCCCCCTAATATTTTAAGTTTTTAAGTGTATCTAAAGGTGTTTTTAAGGGTGTCAGAATGGAGTTGGCATGATTGGATTATTTATTATACTTGAAGTTCACGAATTAGTATTCTGTGTTGCTAAGAACATATCCAATGGTTTGGATGAATAGAGGCTTTGTTGACTTTAAAGACAGTATATTGAGCAGCCAAAGTGTAGTTTCCAAATGTGGATTCTATATTATCTTCAGAACTGAAGAAAACACTCCCATTTTAAACAAATCACCAAATACATCGTAAATGCTAATTTTTTCCTTCATGTTTTGCATAGCAAAGAGAAAATCCAAGAAGAGTTCATCCAAGAAAACCAGCTTAGACAAATAGTCTCTATGGTGGGCCTCCTGCCAGAGTTTTAGAATGCATTACTGAATGATTTACCTCAGATAACAGCCCTGGGTTTATAATTGTCTGGTCTCAAAATCTAAGATGGATGAAGCCTGGTTAGTTACTAAATTGGATGGGAGATTACTTAAGAATACATGGGCTGTAGACCGGAAGGGTGCCTTCCAAATTTTTCAACTGGGAAGTCAAAATACAGTCAGAAGACGACAATGGTATACACTTCTATACTGTTTCCAAGGAAAAAAACATGGACAAGTCCATGAAGTCAATAGGAGACAAGTTGACTCAAAGGGAACTTATGTTTACTGAAATGTTTGTATGAAAATAGGTATCAGCTACACATTTTAACTTTGAGGTATTTTGGTTGGATCATTAGTAAATGAAAATTCATTGATTTCTTCTAAGTTACATTTTGTTTCCCGGTTTATAAATGACACATTTCTTTTTGGTTTTCAGTGATGCGGTGCTTCTGCAGTTACTGCAGTGTTTGACATCAGTAACGCTGTAATTTTACTTGCAGGATGTTTGATGTGGGGGGCCAGAGGTCTGAGAGAAAAAAGTGGATCCATTGCTTTGAAGGAGTTACAGCCATTATCTTCTGTGTTGCTCTTAGTGCCTATGACTTAGTTCTGGCTGAAGATGAAGAGATGGTAAGGAAACAATCATAAGAATAGATGAAGCTATCATATATCAAGTCAAATCACTAATCCGTTAAGCTTAGTATTTTCTACACTGATTTAATAGTCACTCACTAGCCCATTAGGCAGGACTTTTTTCCCAAGCTCTTCCTAGAGATTCAATTGTCTGCATGCAAGGCAGGTACTGTATCTGACCTATTTATTTCTCAAATGTCTAGGCTGCCTAACTCCAAACTTATGAGTGGCTTCACAAGATTAAAAAGACAACAACATTATATATAAAGTGAACTTCATATAAAAGCACAACAATTGTCTCATGGACAACATAACATATTTCAAAATCACCCCCCCCCCCCAATTAAAATATGCCTTCCCAAAACATTCTAGTGCAAGCCCTTAGGAAAAATAGGTTTTTAGAGACTGCATAAGGGTGGGCAAGGTAGTGATCATATGGATCTCCTGGGGGATGCTGTTCCAAAAGGCAGGTGCTGTGGCAGAGAAGGACAGCTTCCTGGGTCCCTCTAGATGACTTTGTTTAATTGATGAGAGCCAAAGCAAGCTGACCCTCTTGGAGCAAACAGGATGGCCAGACACAATGGGAGACAGTATAGTTGTCTCTAGTTGCTAGGCCCTATGCCATGTAGGGCTTTATAGGTAATAACCAGCACCTTGAATTGCACCCAGAAGCCAACTGGCAACAGGGGCAGCTCATGTAGCAGGGCTGTTATATAGACATATTGAGGTTACTTATGACTGCTTGTTGCATTCTGTACCCACTGTAATACCCATGTCTTTTCAAGAGCAGTACCATGTAGAGCAGTCCCCCAGTCTTGCTTACAGTACTGTGTCAAAGGTGCCATGCTAGCTTCTTTAGGTTACAAATTGTTCCATTTTGCGAGGTGCTTCCAGATGGACAGTTCCTAGTACTACTAACCAAAAATTAATCTGGATTTTTTGTTTATTTTTTCCCCCTTTTGGGCTGTGTTGTGGGAAAGCATGGGAGAATTAGAAATTGGATATGATGTCTGGTATGCTGTTAAAATTCCTTTAATGTGACTATGGTATGTTCTTTAGGTTACAAATTGTTCCATTTTGCGAGGTGCTTCCAGATGGACAGTTCCTAGTACTACTAACCAAAAATTAATCTGGATTTTTTGTTTATTTTTTCCCCCTTTTGGGCTGTGTTGTGGGAAAGCATGGGAGAATTACAAATTGGATATGATGTCTGGTATGCTGTTAAAATTCCTTTAATGTGACTATGGTATGATAATTTTGAAAGCCCCCTGGGTCTCTTTCCTTAGAGGTACTGAAATGGACATGCACTTTTGTGTTGATCTCTACTATCATTAGATTTCTGCTACTTTTGGCCAACGGGATTTATTTTCTTTTGGAGTGTCAGACATTCACTGCATAAACTCACTGTAGAAAAGGATTTTTAAGTAAGGAATATTTGTAAATGAGAAATGCTTTATCTTGCCCTTTAATATGATGTCAGATATGCAAAGTTTTGTACATTAGAAAACCTTAAAATAGCAATGCCTAATTTATCTTTATGGAATTCATTGAAGAGTGCATGGGTTTTTAAAACTGCACTCATCACACATGAACTATAGGAAACCTGTGAACATTCTCTTGAGTATTTACTGGTTTGTTCAGTTTATATGCTGGCTTTCTACTCACATGAGTACTCAAGGCAGCTAACAAGAATTAAAATGAATTTTTTTTAATTAAAATTAATGCAATAAAATAATACTGTTCACATTTTGTTAATATACAGAAATAACAAAAAGGGTGCAAAAAAGATAAAACAAAGAGAAGAAAAGGACAAAAAGAAAAAGGACAAAATCATTTGGAACATGTAGAAAACAGTTACGTTTTAAAGCAACCATTATACCTTGAACATGCAGAATATTATTGGTCAGCCTTTCCATTTCATCAGTAGAGAGAACCAGTATATAAGCAAAGAGCAAAGACCTATCATCAGCCCATGCTTGATGATCCAGTAAATCCAGGGTGACACTATCTTTTCATGATAAAAAAGTAATATTTTTTGCTCTGCCCTGTATTTGTTAAAGCCATACTTCTTTACATAATGATAATTTTTAAACCATATTCCCCTTCCCCAAACCAGATTAAACCTACAGGTCTTCAACCAAAATGAGACGATAGTGGATGAAGCCTATACCATATGCCTAAGTATCCCCTTCATTGTTTTATGCTTCCAGCCTAATGAAGTTGGCAACCAGTCATTTTGAAACATTTTATGAGTTGTTCAATATACATAGGGAAAAGATCTTTTGTTGATTTAATCTCATCTTAACTTCATAAAATACACTTAATATTCTTGCTCTAAGTTCACTTCTTGGCTAAGAATGTTCCCTATCTTGACAGAATCGGATGCATGAAAGTATGAAGCTGTTTGATAGCATCTGTAATAACAAGTGGTTCACAGATACTTCCATCATTCTTTTCCTCAACAAGAAGGATCTTTTTGAGGAGAAGATCATCCACAGTCCTTTGACCATCTGCTTCCCAGAGTACGCAGGTAAACATTTCCTCCCCCCCCCCCCCCCCCGACTCCAAATTTGCTGTATTAGCTCCACATCCTACATGGGATTAATCACTCAGGAACTGCTCAGTCTGGAGACATAGTTTAGTTTACGAATAAAGCTAACATTATCCTTTAGCTTGCATTAGAAAGAATGCCTCCTTCAGCCAGCTCCCACTCCCACCAGCAATTGTACTTGGGTTCACTATAACTGAAGAGCCATGTTAAAAAACAGTGTGTCCTCTGTACAGGTAGTCCTCGGTTAACAACGGTAATTGGGTCAGGAATTTCCATCACTAAGCAATGTCATAAAGCGCAACATCACGTGAGTGCATCGCTTAGCGATGGAAATTCTGGCACTCCCCGTTGCCATTGTTAAGCAAGGATCATGGGTCGTTAAGCGAGTCCCAGGTGGCTCACAAGCAGGCAGGTAAGGTGCAGTGTGAATGTGGTGGGGTCAGGATGGCTGCTGCCAGGTGGGGGAGGGTGCAGGCAACTTACTGGAACAACTTGCAACCTTCCCTCCCAGCTTCCCCATTGACTTTGCTTGTGGGAAGCCGGCAGGGAAGGTCACAAATGGCAATCACATGACCATGGAGCACTGCAACTAACATAAACGCAAGCCAGTTGCCAAGCTCCCAGATCGCGATCACATGACCTTGGGGATGCTGGAATGGCTGGAACTTCAAGAACTGGTTGTAAGTACCATTCATTTAGTACCATCGTGGTTGCTAAACAAGGACTACCTGTATTCACAAGTCATCCATAATACCAGTTACAGTAGTAAAGACTCTGAAGAGTAGCAAACTATTTAGGGAAAGGGAAACACACACATACAAACACACATGCGCGCACACAACAGGAACCTCCCCTGTTGTTCCTTCCTTTCTCCAAACATATTGTAAATGAGCAACCTCCACCTTCTCCTATTTGTTCAATAATTCAGGACAGAAGTGAAATCTTTCTTCATGTGCACATGGGGACTCCTGCTGTTTCTTTCTGTAATTTCTCTTTGAAAATGAGCCAAGGTTTATTAAAAATACTGAATTTATCCAGTATTTCAGTTCCTTTGGATTCTCTTGTGAATCCAAGATTTTTGAAAGAGTTGCTTACCTTCCATGTTCCAATCAGGATAACAGACATTTTCAGTATTGGAAATACAGCTGTTTCCTAATGCTTTACACCAATGATGTCTGAATAACTGACATTATTTCATTGAAACATAGGATGTATTTTTGATGTTGCAATTTACCATGTATTTCCCACAGTATATGGAACAATCCAACAACCATCACATTTCTCATTTCTGACTTAAAGCTTTTCCCTGTGGAAGAATGGAAAGTAATTGTGATACACAATGGTAATGTAATTGGGCAAAAGAAATGCACTCCATGCTTCTGATGACGTGAGCTGTGCATCACAAAAGCTTATGTAGTTTAACAAAATGTGTTAAATTTGAAAAGGTGCTGGCAGGGTCCTCCTGATTTTGGACACCATAGAAAAATAACTTAACTCTCCTACCGCAGTGTGTTGAAATTGCCATGTAAAATAATTGTGTTCAGCTAGTCAGATCTGAAGAAGAAAAGATGCTTGGCAGAGAGGATGGATGTGCTCACTGCACCTGTCAACACCTCCTTAAAGAAACTGTACCTGTTCCTGGTCTTGCACAGTAGCCACATGGTGCGACACTTTTGTTGTACCCTATTGGCACCTTCTTAATTCAAAGATGTATTTTCCTGTGGACTGTGCAGCTTCCAAATCTTATTGTTGATATTACAGATGTCACATTTTATTTCTTTGTGGACAATTATGATGGCACTATTCTATAAGTATGATGAAAATACAGCTAGCAGTGCTCCCACTCAGTCTTATTTCTAGGACCTCAAACATAGTGTTCCCATATACAACTCTGCCTTGTATCTACAACATTACTACTTTTCAAGCACATTTTGTTGCTGGAAATGCTATGAAGCTTGATGATGCAGCTGTAATTATATCTATAATCAGTGAGAATAATATTGAGGAAAAAGTTCTTGGATAGAGAGATGTTCAAAGTACACTTCCGTCAATTCAGAAGTTCCCATGCAATTAATGATAAAGAAGATAACAGCAGCAAACTTCGTTTATTGCTAAAGACTTCAGTCCAGATGCAGGGTATGCATCCAATAATGTTGAGAATTCTGTAAAGAAAAGGAAAATTATTAAGGGAGGACTTACTGATATTTTGTCAGATATTACAACAGCCAAGATGCTACATGCAGCTGAAGAAGAATTTCATGGGATAATTCCACTAGAAGATCTTCTCATGAAACTGTGTCAGAGATGGAAGAACACTGAGAATGGGAAGGGGGAATTAATGGAGAGAGGACAATGAGCAAACATGTTTCCATGAACAAATTCAGAATGACAGTACATTGAACTCAGCCAAGCCAAACCAAGCCAAATAGTAACACTGGTAATCAATAGTAGTCAACAAGTTGTTAATTATACTTGTAAACACATGTGCTTTTGATTTGTAAATAATCTTTATATTATACTGTGATAGTGAGAAATAAAAGGAATTTGTTGTTAGCACTAATGAATTCGTTCTGAGCAAATTAATAAAAAGACATTATTTGAAAGGGTAACTATGGAGACTATTTATCTGTGGAGATATTATAATTGTGAAACTTCCTCCAAAATTTCCAAGCGCAAAAGAAAACAGCAACTGCTAGTCTGAAAAGAAATCTTGCAGAAGAAGGCCAATTATTTTGTAATGGTGTGAGAGCCAGAACTCCAAGTATGTACAGCCCTTATCTATGTATAGAAGATAATGTGTTCCACAGATTAAGGGAACACTAACCCTGGTAAAATTCAGCAAAATTATGTATAAACTTCAAGATGGTACTGGGTGAAGAATCAGTTAGCCCAAATGCAGTGGGGCATGGCATGTTGTTGAAAGCATGAGAACCTATGGAAGGAATACATCAATCTAAATATGAATGAAGTAACATCAAATGAAAGCAGAATAGTCATTTGCCATCTGCAGATTTACAGTGCATAAGAACATATAAGTGTGGAAATACAGTGTTAACAAGTTATTGAACTCTTTATCCTATAGATTTTGATTAGAAGACCTGGAGTGGGGGAAGAATATTGTAGATCATCCTTCCACAATTCATTGTGCTTTGATATCTGTAACACCCATAATCCCCACCCATGTGTGACATTTAGCTATCATGATGGTAGATTACAGGAGTTACAGTTCAAACACACTTGGCAAGTAACTATTTCAGGAAGGGCTGTTTCTGCCTAAGAACAAAATTGCATAATACTCTGACTTCCTTTCTGTTAGCATGTGCATTTTTGGACAGAAAGCTTTTCCTGCTCGCATTAATATCTCTCTCCAGATCTTTTTATTTATTTATTGCAGGTGTTTCTATGTCACCCAGCTTAAACTGGCTTTTGAATGGTATCTTCTCTTAATCAATTTCAGTGCAATTAAAAGCAGCACTTATCAACGATACTCTGTTACTCCACAACTTACATACTGGACTTCTTGAACATACAGAGTTCTTGGTAATGGAAATTGCTGGCATGTGCATGAAACAAAAATATGTTTTGTTTAAAACTCAAAAATTGAGACACCAAAGTTGTACATTGTTATCCTATCAATTTATCTGCAGAACATCAGAAGCAGAAGTTGGCATTAAAATTGCTGGAGGACACATTAGTAACATTAGACATGCTAATGATATCACTTTGGGGCCTGGCAGTAAGGAAAACTTAAGGAATCATTTGTTGAAAATAAAGGTCAGCAGTGCAAAAGCTGGTCTGATGCTCAGTAATAAAAGAATTAAGTTTATGTCAGCTTCTAACACCAACCCAGTTCAAATAGGCAGTGAAGGATGTACTGAAAGTGGTAACAGACTTTATCTTCCTGGACTCAAAAATCCATAGGGTTGGAGATTGTAATCATGAAATAAAGATGTGTCTGCTTCTTGGGAGAAAGCCTATGACAAATATAGACCAAAAAAAGTATAGTGACATCACAGGTATATGTCGTCAAGGCCATGGTCTTTACAGTTGTAAAACGTGGTCGTGGAAACTGAACCATCAGAAAGGCTACATGAAGAAGAATTGATACATTTTAACTAGTATGCTCGAGTACATTGTTGAGAGTACCCTGGACAACAATAAAAATAAGTCATTCAGTATTACTTGAAGTAAAATTAGACTGTTCCTCGAAAACACTAAAATGAAGATAAACATTAATATTTGGAGCACATACTGCAGAAGCAAGAAGTGTTAGAGAGCCACAATGCCTGAAAAATCAAAGTAAATAGAAGAAAAAGAGAAGACAAGATGGCTGGATACTGTTATTGATACCATGAGCATGAGTTCACAAGAACTCAAAGCAGTTACTGACAGATCATCCTGGGAAACTATTGTCCATCAGATCATTGAAGCATTGAAATTTACTGAACACTAACATAGTACCCTAGAAGGAACGTGTCAGTTATTCACTTTTGAAGCAGGGGAAAACAAAGCTAGAGGTTATGGAGTTTGTAGAGTTTGTACAAAACTTGGTCTAGGCTTTGTGTGAATATAGCAACATTGATTTTTAGGCATTTCCCTTGAACCCTAAAATGTTCATATCCCTTAACTATGGAGATACAAAAGCTAAACTTAGTAGAACAAAATGGTGCAAAATGGCATAGGTTTTGAGCGGAACCAAATTGTGGAATGTATAGTTAAAACATCTGGTTCTTCTTTCCATGGAAGAAGAATGAAATAACAGAAAAGACTTTTCCATACTATATCAGAAGTGAGAAAAGTCCTCATTTATAGTTGAAATCACCCAGAAAGATCAGAGTGAGGTTGTTGAACTGATCAAATACACCCTTAGTTTGTAAGGCAATCTGACAATCACCCTGATATTTACAGTATATTTGAGACAACATACTATAAAGGATTTTCATTAGTAGCATGTGTTACTCTGCTACATCTCTAACTGCATCTTACTTCAGAAGAGGTTTTATTCCAATATGTTCAGTTTTCTTAAGGTATTTATTTTTACTCAATGAAAAGATTAGCTGGATTGCATACACTGTGGTTACTTTCCAGTAATATATTGGTAAAGTGATATTGCAAATGTTTGTTATCATCTTCATGTTGTTGTATAGTAGATTGTGACCACTGCCCTGCGATGATCACTGATGGCATAGCAACAGTAGTAATCTACATATGCAAGCTGTGCATATGCTTTGATTTTGGATAAAACGTCTGTTTCTGTTTGCTGGAGGATAGCCTTGTGTGGACATATGTAAACATTGTGTTTATACTGTTAGGTTCCTAAGAGGTAGCTATGCAAACAGTTCTGAAAATTAAAAAAAAACAAAAGAGTCTTGTAATTGTCTTAAAACTTACCTGATTAATTGTGGCATGTAAAGCTTTGGTACAATAAATATTTTAATATTTTAAATGATGCAGGGTTCCCTTTTGATAGGTTTGCATGGTATTAAGATTTTTTTTTATAATTAGGATGTACCATTTTGGTAGCTAGTTGAAGTCATTTTTCTTTGCTGATATTCAGCTGCAGTGAGAACTTAGCCCTGGTTTTATAGCTATTAAAGTGTAGAAAATGAATGTAAAGGAGCAGTACCACATTCCAGATACTATGTTGTATACACTATCTGATTAGATGCCATTCTTCCCTCCCTCCTCCCCATTTTTTGATGCTTTCCAAGATTCTAGTCAATCTATAGCTCAAGAAAGCAAGCAAAACGAGAATGTTTAATTTCCACATTAGCAGCCTCCACCACTTCTTTTTAAATTTAAGGCAGCTGATAAGAACCAGCATGCAGGTTTATGTAGAACATTCTAGCATAATCAGTGTTATAGATCTGGACTCTTTAATTTCTGCCTTTACAGCTGGAGAAAAACATCACAGGATAGCCTGGGACAATACGTGATTGAGTATTTTGGGTATTTTCTTCTTTCTTTTCAAATGGTTGGGAGGTTAGATAGCTTAATGAAAGGTAATGGGTTAATTATCAGCTCTGTAAAAAAAAAGTCTCAAATGGATTTGTTTTTTTCTAAAAATGCAATACATATAACAGCTGGGTAGGGAATTTGTAGTAAATTATTTCTCTCTTAAGGCCAGTTTAATTTCCTTCTCCTGTGCAGAGAGATTGTGTGTTAACCCCAGGTCTGATAGTTATGTTCATTTTAAGGTCAGTTTCCTTGATGTGACTAAGCTTTGTTGCTCTGAGCTCCATTGAAAGGAGCCAGCAAGATGCCATGTTTCCTTTCGTTCCCTTCCTTTCTGCAAATTAGTTTTGTTCTACATTTATCTAGTTGCTAACTCAATATCTGGCAGAGGAGGAGAACAGATCTTTTTCAGAGCTGGAGAATCTCTCTTAAGTTTTTCATAGCAATTCTTATAATTTGCTTTCTGCTTAACCTGATACTGTTTATGTGGGTTGAGGATGGTTCTTGACTTTTTTTAGCAAATGTACTGCTTTTTTAAGGATCCAACCGGTGCACCTAGTTATGGTGTAATAATGTTTCTAATCATTGCTCTTTCTCTCCCTCCTTCTCAGGGGCCAACAAATATGATGAAGCTGCAGGCTATATTCAGAACAAGTTTGAGGAGCTGAACAAGAGAAAAGACACCAAGGAGATCTACACCCATTTCACTTGTGCCACTGATACCAAGAATGTGCAGTTTGTCTTTGATGCTGTCACTGATGTCATCATCAAAAACAACCTGAAGGACTGTGGGCTCTTTTAGCTCTTCAGATGGCATCTACTGAGGAACATAGAAAGGTGAGGCATTGTTAGAATAACAAGACAATTTACAGCTACTTGTGATGAATAATCACACTTGCGTATTTTAAAACACAGGTAGTATGCCAGTTTCCTAAAAGCAAGACTTGGAAGCATTTATCTGAAGTGTCTCATTTCAGGGAATATGCAAGTCTAGTTGGGTAAAAGGGAGTAATATTTTCCATTTCACAAGGTGGAGTAGAACCACTGTCATTGATATTCATTGAATGTAAAAATATGCAGTAGAGATTATGACTTTCTGGATATAATGTGGGTTTCCATATCTGACAGAGCACACTGTCAAAATCTAGCTGTTATCTGGGTAGTGTTATTATTAATGTTGAAATTAGCCCATAAATAACAATATACAGCCAATATATATATAGTTTCAGCCCTGTTTTAATATTGCTTATACTGAATTGTCCAAACTACTATGAATTCTTGCAAGAACCTCAAAATCATTTTGAAAGCAAAGCAGTGAAGGGTTGGATTCAGGGTCCCAGGTAACATTAGCAACTATTTTTTACTTCAGGGACTAAATAAGATTATATATGCAGGGCAGGCTGAATGCCATACTGAACTGAGCACTGATGTGTTTATACCATTTACCTTACAGATATTATGTTCTCTTGCTTACACAAGTAGGATATAGCAGATCACTTTGGTTCTAAACCTTATTTTGAATGCTATTAGGAATATGCAAAACATTACGTTTTTGGAACCAAGCATTCCAGGAGAAAATAATTCCTCCAAACCAAACTGATCCACTCATTCCAGGCAGTTTTCTGGAAGTTTCCAGGTGTAGTTGAATCACTTCCCTTTCTGGAAAATGTCCTTCCAGGAGACTGCTGGAGAACAACTGGATTGGCTTAGTCCACATTGAAACAGAACTTTCTGGTGTCCCCAGAATGTCTCTAAATACAAAGTTTTGTACATTCCAGTGTCTTCGGTAAGTTTGTATATTGACTTCTTTCTTCTCTTCCCACTGCAGGATTACTTGAACCGCTCCATATGAGGAAGAGGCTGGTGTTGATGAAGGGAGGACTGCACCATTTAACAACTTCTGCTTCTTAAGTTTTGTTTCATTCCTTTAAATTTTCCTAATGATGAGACTTTGGCAATTCTTCCTGTCCAAAGGACAGGGTCCATTGCTTCCCCTGCTCTGTGCTGTCTAGATGCCTCCTGCAGGCCATTTGTCTTCTCCCTATGCCCACAAAGCCTTACTAAAGTACCAATGATTGGTGACTTGCCATAGTTGTAACAATTCCATATATGCCCTTTTTTCCCTCTTCCTTTAACTGAAATACAGATGGTAGCAAGTCAGAGGGCTTTGGATATGTTTGCCATGTTCTTTACCTTATTTTTTAAGATACAAGGTGGGGTTTGGGGGTGGTTTTTTGTTTTGCTTTGTTTTTGTCCAAGCAACTTTCTGTCTGGCCCTGCCAAAGCAATCTACAGTCCATATGTTTTTTTACCTTCCATCAAGTGGAGCTCTTGCCATGGAGCAAGTTTTTCAGCTCCTACCTCTGTAATTTGCACAGACCAGCAAGAAAACAAAAACATTCCTTAAGAGTCAATTAGTGCAGGAAAAGCTGGTCTATTGTTTTATAAGAAACCCTTTTTAAAAAAAACGTATTTAAAATGTCAAGTAGTAAACGGTTGAGTTGCCCAGTATGAGCTCATCTTCTCTAGTAAATTTGTGCCTTGAGGGTGTCTGTATGTTTACATCTGTTCCTTAGTTTGCTTCAACGTGTATTGTGTTTAGAATAGAATGCAGTGGGTTCCCCTGTTTTCCAGCCCTTCTCTCCCTTTTTTGCTGTGGACCAGGCCAAGCTTTTTATGAGGGGGCAGTGCCCATGCATTTAAAACATGTTTCTTCCTGGCCACAGAATTAGGTTCCTAAGGGCTAAGATTCCACTAAGCAATGTCAACTTCTTTCCATTCCTTTGTGCCCCACCCCAGGGCCTGAGGGTGCACCTGAGGTTGCTGTAATGTCAGGTCTATTTTAATGTATTTTCTTAGCTCTAACTGTAGTGTCAGTTGAAGAAACACTGCTGTATGTAAGCGGTCCTGCCTGCTGTGCAGTTGATGGGCACTGGGCCATTAGTAACCGTCAGACGCAGCCTAGCTTTTATCACGTTTTACCAAATTGTTCACATGGTTTGAAATAATAAAAAGTAGAAAGAAAGCCTTGTTTGAACTGTGTTGCTTTTGTTGCACCATCCCAAACAGATTTGAGCACACCACTAATTAATGGTGGGTTTTTATGACTAGATGATTTTCCTTTGCTCATGATACAGATTTGTTAGCTTCTCCTAGACTTTTTTTTTTCTAAACATGGAAATGTTTTGGACTACAACCACAACAGCATTGGGAGCTGTAGTCCAAAACACCTAAAAAACGCTACGTTGTATATACTCACACTACAGAATGGAAATGTCTCTGTTTTGGGAACATGCTATTGTTTACTCCGTAAGTGTGGTCTTTCTAAAAGGTTTTGTGGCCTGGGTGAGTGCTTGTTTTTTCCAGGGTATGTAAACTTGAGCAGAATTCCCTATAAGGCTGAAAGGTAAAATGTAAGTTGTGAATAATAATTAAATACAGGAAAAAGGAAATGTGTTATAATCTTCAAATATAGTCTTCTCTTAAATACATACAGAGACACATTCTGTGGCATACGTTCCTCATCATCATTTCAGTTTATAATCTTGACAGGCCAAAGGAGCCATGTGTAAGGAAACACTGAAGAATGTACAGGAACCTCCCATCTGCTCCAATGAAGTGATGACCTTTGGAGAACACCTATTAGCTGCAGGGCATCCAGCATACTGTTGGCTATCTCTCCTTGCTAGGACTGGTGGGAGGCATTAAGAGAAGTGTCCTTGCCTATCACAACAAACGAGAACCTTTCCTAGGTGTTTTTCAAGAAAACCATTCACGGTTTCAGTTGTTTAAGACTTAAGCCTGAAAATACAGAAAATCAGTAGTAAAGATGATCAAGATCGTTCCTGCTGTTTCTTCTTTTGGGAAAATGTTCACAATGCACACATAGTTTGGTAAGAGATAAAGGGAGACTTCAGAAAAAGCTGCCGTAATAATGCATTTTATCAGATGCTATGGAAGATGAAAAAGCAAATGTATGCATTTTCCAACAATATGCATATCATCCAAGTTTTCTTGGATGGTGCAAGTATTACATTAAACAGGTGTAACACCCAAATTGAAATATACCTACTGATACAGAAATGCATGAAATAGTATACTGACATCTATATTATCCATGACATTATTTGAAGACAACACATATTAGCTATATACAAAACTTGTAGCTGGTTCTGGTTGTTTGAACATGTTTTTCATAATGTTCACAATGTAAATAGCCATTTTTATGTGCTTTCTGCATTCAACTTGCACTAAGTAATAGAGGACCCATTACTGCAGCAAAAGGAAAATTAGGACCACAAATGAGTTTCCAGGTAGCAAATAATCTTAAGTGGCTTGACTAATACCTTCCAAGATGAAGTTCACCTGAAGGGTCAAATTCATGACTTAACAAGTGGGAGCTACCATAAACTCTTAGAACTTGTAGGGGATGAAGAGTGACCCATGGTCATGGATCACAAATAGTCACACACCCCATCCCCTCCTTAGTTGCCATGGTGTTTTGGAGATGACCATTACCAGATTTGGGCAGGCGTCTATCTGGTCTTCATCAGGCAGCCTCCTGACCTGCGAGTCTGGCCTCATTACTGACCCTTTCTGCTGTGAACAAAGTGACAAGCTTGTCCACAGAAATTCCCAAGTCTGCAAAACTAGAAGAAAAAAGTTTTTTGCAGAATAACTTCCAAATATACTTTGTGCAAATGGCGCAATTATTCCAACTGCAGGGCTGTCCTTTGACTGTCCAAGATACAATGCTAATACCCTAGTATAGTTTTGGTAATAGCCATGTTTCCATCATTCAAAGAAGCAGTGTCAAACGAAAAGCAAGAGTGAACAAGGAAAAAGAGTTTAGCAGGAATAGCTGATATCAGCAAGCAGGTCCATTGTAGAGGGAAGGCCACACATGCTAACAGCTTTCACCCCTTAGAGGCACAGCAGTGGCTCAGATTCTGGAAGAAAGCATTTGCTTGCCTGCTTTTCCTGCTGAAAGTGAAAGTAATGAAGAGATGTCAAAATGCAAGCATACTGTAGTTGGGAGACATCCAGTAGCAGATGTTTCCATCCCTCCTTTTTTTTTAAGACTGGCAAAGCTATTCATGAGTTCTGTAGCCTAGCTTACAGGGTGGAAAAAGTGCTACACATGACTTCTGTAGCCTGGCTCATAGGATGGAGCAAGTGCTTTCCAGACAATACCGGTTTGCAGGAAAAAGCTGGATGTGGGGATTGCTACCCTTTCACTTAGCTGAATTCTCAATGCTGATTTTCACCAAGAGAAGCAGGAATGTCTGTAGAAAGAGTATATTACATAGTCAGGAAGACTCAGGTCCTACATAGTGTCTAATTTCCCTGAACAGCCTGTGTTGTATTCCTTCACCTCCACCTGCTGTGAACATCAGAGGAGGTCAGCTGGATCAAGGCAAGACTACATTTAATTCAGTAGTTTGCTTGACATAGTAGTTCATATAATGCCTTGAAGAAGACCACAAGCAGAGCTAGAAGACATAGCTTTCTTTTGATACATTCAGAAGAGAGTTACAACCTTCTATGCAGGCCCTCCCTACCGTAAACCTCTCTGGAAATCCCCCAGTGCCAATAATCTGTCTTATTCTAAGCATAGGGCTCTATGATTTTTCATTGCCGTCTTAATAATTCCCCACTGACCCAAGATTTCACTGCTGATATTCAGTGAGAAATTGCTGATTTTCATTGATGTACTTTTTTTTTCTTTTTAAACATGAAATGTCCAAACTAGATAGCTGCCACCTAACTATTCTGAATTGAAAATAAAAAAGAACAGCTCCCCAAGGCTCTAAAAATTTCCCTCAAAGGCCTGAACATTCCTATCTCTGTGTCTCGAATGGTATCTCCAGTCACTACATCACTGTTGCAGTTTTGTGAAAAGAGAATAACAGCTGGAATATAGATTTCCAAAAACTGAGAAATTACGTTTTTGCTTCTCCCAAATAAACTGGGAAAGCCCTTATTGCAACTTGCCATTAGGCTATACCTGATAAGGCTCAATTTAGATATTTTGAAAGTTCTCCATCATTCTATCTAACTATGTAATCTGATACAAATATGGCTTTGCACATTGGCCTCAATTATTCCCCCTCCCTTTTTTTTTTACCCCCTAAACCTCCTGCCTGCTGAAGGGTTCTTAAGAGTTGCAGAAATGTTGTACAACTTTAATTGGCTTAAAATATATATTGCTTCAATGAACTGGATTTTATTCAAGGTAGGTCCCCCCACCCCCTTCCTTTCCTACCCACCCATCTGATCCTGCCTGGGCAGAGCCAGCCAAGTTAGGAAAAACAAGCACTTGCAATCAGAAGAGGCCACAATCCTTCAGATTCTCCTTGATGATGATGTCAGTGACAGCATCAAAGACAAACTTGACGTTTTCTGTGTCAGTGGCACAGGTCATATGTGAGTAGATTTCCTTCACATCTCTTCTCATATTCAGTTCCAGAAATTGGACTTTGATATAGGCACCTGCATCTTCATATGAATTGGGCCCTGCAGAGAGAGGGGTGGAAATCAAGGAATAGTTTCACCTATAGAGTAACACAAGCCCTCCTGGCTCAGAGTATTATTCATTTGCCCAGAAATGAGACAAAACTTTAATTGTTTCCAGAGAAATACCCCTCTTGAAGTAGAATAAGTTCTGACAAAGCCTTGGGACAATGAGATCACTGCCCTGACAATAAACAAGACTCCAAACAGACTTTGCATTGAAGAAATGATTCCAATCTGTACTAGGCAGGATCATTAAACACTGCAGTTGTTACAGAGTTCAGTGTTCATTGTTCAACAGTCAGCTGTACTGTACCTGAGCTTCCCTTCCAGGGAATGGTCTACCCCTGATAATCAAGTCTTGCATGTTTTACTGAACATCACCCACCTACGTCACTTACCTCTGAAAGTTTGGAGAAAAGGCATTCCAGAATTATGACTGACGTATGGGGCTTCTAATGCCTTTTCAGTGGTGAAAAGCCTCCCAAGACAGTTTACAAAACTCAGAGTAATTTTTTGAGGAGTTTTATTGGATGACTCTCCCAACACTTTCTCCCTTAGCAACTTTGCACTCCCCTTCACCTTATATTTTCTTCCAGTATTGGAACAGCTGAGAAGAAAAGCATCTCTCCAATCAGTACATATGAGCACCTAGCCTCAAAAGTGGATAAACGAATAGTGTAAAGCAACAAACACACATTTCTTCCTTGAAAAACAGCCGATAATAACAAATTCTGGTTTACGTGGCAGAAAACGATGCCATATTTCACAGAGGACTGAGGCCCTCTAGTGTTTTATTCCCCAAAACAAATGTGTTACAATAGGGTTATTTTCACAAAGTAATGTCCTCTCCTCATTATGATGTGATGGAAGCAAGGGAAACAGAAGATAACTTGCTTCTTCCACCCAAAGTTGGGAGTAATAAGATCCATCTACCACCCAAGAAATCAAATGCAAAGGTTTTAATTATTTATACCTTTGGATGACATGAAAAAATGTTATGTGGTTGTCAAACTCTTAGCTGCATCTATCCAAGCAAGTATAACTTTGTATAGAAAGTCAGCGAGATAACAAAGGTGGGTGTCAATGGAAGAGGGGAGCGGG